AAAAAAAAAAAAAAACAGTAAAGAACAAATAGTCTATAGCCAAATACATTAAACTTGTGGGAAGACTCTCATCAGAATATTGTATCTAGCAATCATTACTCATTATCTATGCAGCCTTTCTGTTAACTCCTAAAAAAAAAATGGATTTTAACAGAACTCCTTGCAAATGCATAGAAAAATTCCAACATAGCTTTCACTAAGAAAAAACAGGCTTTGCCAAATCAGTAACCCTGTCTATCGATGAAAGTTCATTCAACTACTGAGATTCCTTCTCAGAGCCTTTATGTGTTAGCTCACTTGTACTAAGTTATGTTAGAATTAACAGCACCTGGAATATAGTAAGCATGTCATTGGCTTCCTGAGGTGTTAAACCAAGCACCATTGGCCAATTCTAAAATGAAAAAAAAAAAAATCAATAAATCAATTTAGAGGGTGAGAATAACCAAAACTTATTTCTAATCAGCATTTTCCAAATGCTAACCTCAAACAATTTTGCAGCCTCCAGATCCCCTCCACAGATCAGATATCAACTGAACCAAAGGATGACAGTTAATCTACTAAACACTATTTTAAATGGATTTTTTAAATTCAAATAAGACAACTAATTGTATTTTTAATGCAGAAACTTTCAATTACACTGCAAAAGCTATGAAGTCATAGCTCATTTTTTGAGTAAAAGTCAGCATTACTTAAAAGATGATGCAAGATTAGTTCACCTTCATTCATTCGAATGAAAAAGAATGTGAGAGCTTAAGTCCCTTGTACATATATCAGAAAGAAAGAATAGTTTTCTGATGCTAACATAATTTATCATTAATCCTAGTCTTCGCATTTGTTCCTGATAAATAGATGCTTTCCAAAAACCTTAAACATCTCAATTCTTAATTTTTAGGAACTGATTACCAGCGTTACTTTCATCAGCCATATACAAAACATTAAACAAACCTGCCCTGAACTGAAACCCAAACACCATCTTAACAAGAATAAACCTATTCAACAGTCAGGGCCCGTCCCATCAATTAGTCAAATCCAAAAACCTTCCCATGTTCTCATCTCTCCTTAAGAATTTCTCTAATAGAATAAAATAGAAACACATGCCTGATCATAATCTGAGTAGAACTGTGAACAGTCTTCAGTAAAAGTCTTCACAGCACTAATAAGCTCTCCTCTGAAGTTCGGGTGCAAAGCAACAACCTCATCCTGCACTTCATTTGCACGGATTAGCAATTTTTCCCAAGTGTAGTGCAACATGTTCACCTTCTCTGTCTCTTCCTTGGCAACAAGTAGATCATATTTGCTCAACATAGCATAAGATTCCTGCCAGAAATTTGGATCAAGATACATAAAAGGGTATCTTCAATTAACTTTATAAACATATATGGAAAACATGTATTTAAAATGGTAACATTTAACATTTTTTCAGAACAGAGAATGATTTGTTTGAAAAAAAAATTCTGTTCTTCTTGCATAGCCATTATCAAAATTGGGCAAACCAATACCAACCTGGAAGAAACATCTGCATTTTTTTCTCAGAGCATTGATATCAGCTTACATCACCAACATATGAACAGTCTACATAGTGAAAACCCTTAGTGATTTTTCACTAAAACACAAATTATATTGACTTTCTATAAATTAGCACAGGGTAGGGTAGCAATAAACCTGTGGCAATTTCATTTGAAAATTTTTTAATGAAGTGGAATTATTTCCATTCATACTTTCCAATTTGATCAAATTGTAGCCAAATTGCAAAAATGGAAACATAACTGTCTACTGCAACACTGTGGAAAGTATGCCAACCTCCCTTTCTGAACTGAAGAATCACTTCTTGTACCTTGGGACTCAAGGCTCCTGCTTGCAGAATTGGAAATTTATAATGAAACTATGGGCAATCAGGAATCATGAACATGTCTTAGGAAGAAGAATTCTACTGAAAAATCAAAGGTGCATTTTGCCATATTATAGCATTCTTAAATAAATACTCTGTTCGGGACTGCAGAGAAACAGTTACCATCTGTTTTTAAGCCTGCCATTTGTCATATGTTCAATAAATGCATTCTATCACATTAACTTTTTTTTAGGAAGTCATCTGTTTTTGTTTATTTTCATTTATACAGCTGATAAAAGCAATCAATCTCGTGTAGTCTGCTTAATATTAGCTTTTTACTCCTCTTAAGGCTTAGCTAAAAAAAAAATTAGGAATCTCATTTCTTTTCGAACACAGACTTCTTCCACAAAGTATGAAAAGATTTCTTGCATTAAATACCTGTATTCTCATCTTCCTCTTACCTACATCACTCAATTTCTACACTGTTCACTAAACCTCACCTCAGCAAGTTTACATTTGCCCAAATCAGAATTTCACACAAAAATGTTTACAGAAACACAACAGGTCTGTCACTCAACATTCAACACATATTAAATCATACATTTTCAAAGTTCACTGTTAACCTTTAAGCCAGAAAATAACTTCTTTCTTGAAACATGCAACATTCCTACTAGGTACCTCAATGGGGCCAATACGGGAGTCAATAGAGATCTGTAGTTCTCCGATCTCTTTTAAAGCTGACATGGCTATTCTGATGTCATCTTGGTCTGTGATGCTGAGATTTAATTTCTTGCCAGTTTCCTCTATAAAAGTCAAAATAGCTTCCATCTGTGTTCTGTACTTCTTATTGCAATGATACCCCAGCAAAGTCATCAAGGCTTTAGTTTCTGATCTAAGTGCTAGCTTCAGATCAACTAAAAATATTAAACAACAAATAGATATTAGACATTGCAGGTATTTGTTAAGATGCACTTTCAATCTTTTTAATTACATTTGATCTCTTCAGTGGCAGTTCAGGTTTTTCGATCTAACCCTTCACATATAGAGATGATGAAATCACATGGGCACCTTGAAGGGGTTTATAAAATTGCTTGCAATTCACAATTGCTTTCCACCTGTTCTCCTCAGAATTTACCATCTTTTCTACTGGAAAGATCATCTAAAAACATTGAACAATTAATAAATATTAGAGATCATATATATTTTTTTTAGAATGTGCCTACTGGAAAGATGAAGTTGGTCTCCATACTTGTCATCTTGCTTATTTACCATTATACAAACTTCTGTCCTATATATCACTAATGAATTTATTCATATTCTCATCTAAAACATTTTCCAAAATTAATCTTAAAAAAAAATAACATGAGGAGGAAATTAGGAGTCTAATTATGAAAGCTGAAGAAACAAAGTTTGATCATAGCGTTGGTGGAATTGTTAGATAGAAAGGGGTTCAGCCGTCTCACTGCATGCAATTGGGCAAGGAGAAAAGTAACAAACTTATCATCTTACTCCCATGAAATATGTACCCCTGGGAATCAGTGACAGAAGGATGGGCAAACATCTACCATCCAACTCATAAGCGAGCAGGCATATCCAGGTGAGGCAATAAACTCCAGATGAGCCTTACAGATATTCTTGTGTTAGTGTTTTCTTTGCAGCATTTACAGCCAGAACAGCAAACAGCCCTTCTCTCTCACTTTCTCCTTTCCATTTTAATCTAGCTTACTGACATGGTTTGACACTGGCACAATGCCAGTGCCCCCATGAAAATGTGGTCCCTCCATTGAATGCTGTGAAGTGGAATCTAGAACAGAGCAAAGCAGGCCCAAGCTTAATAACAGGGAAAAAAACTTTATTAAGCTACTACTACAAAAGAAAAAAAAGAAAGGAAAAAAAACCACACAAAGATCAAATGAAAACCTTGCAAAGCATTCCTCCCCCCACCACCCAACTCCAACAAACCACAGTGAGACACAATCTGGACCCCAGTCAGGTTTCCACCCTCCAAACAATCGATACTCAGGCCTTCGAGGGAGACAGAGTCTCTCCTGTGCCACAGACCCCCAAGAAAACACAGCTCCACATCCTGTGTTTCCATGTCACACATGGCACCACCCGGAGAAAAGTTTGCCATTGTGACCCTTCTCCTTTCCATGCACAGTGCTCTCACCACCAAATGCATGGATGGACGGACTGCTTTTAGGATTTTTCCTTTCAAAGAAGCCCTGCCAAGAGGGGAGAAAACAACAGTTCAGTTTTTCATTGTTTGGCACCACAGTCCCCCCCATTTTCCATTTCCCCTGGGGCCGAGGGTTCAAGAACAGAGATCTTCTTCTCTTCTCTTTCCTTTCCAGGACAGGGGGATGCCACCACAAACCCCCTAACCTTTTCTCCGTTCACTCCACTTTTGTCTTTTCCCAGCTGAAGCAGGTCTCTTGACTCACTGGTATCCTCCCAAAACACAGTCTCTCTTGAACGAGAAGATTGGTTCAGTTTGTGGCCAACATGGAAAAGTCCAGCCAAAAGCCACTCCTTGTCCCCCTTCCATCTAGAATTCCTCCTT